GGGATGGATGGATGGATGGATGGATGGATGGATGGATGGATGGATGGATGGATGAATGGATGGATGGATGGCAGGATGGATGGATGGATGGATGGATGGATGGATGGATGGATGGATGGATGGATGGATGGATGGATGGATGGCAGGATGGATGGATGTTTGCTTTAAATAATGATATAAAAATAAAGTTCTGGAGATTGTAATGTATAAATCAGCAGCGATCAACACTTGTCTAAGGTCTGTTCAGATTAGCCATTAGCTCGTGTGCCCTGTCGGTAATAGTCGTTCAAAGAACTATCTGAAACAGGTAAGATGTTTACTCTTCAAAAACATTTTACAGAACCTTACTTAAAATGCCAGACAATTAATTTTAAACTACATTTCATTGAACACAGCTGCCCCAGGAAGCTGATGCTAATTATAAACACTTTGTTGTGGCATGACAAACCATCGTGTTTTAAAAGTAGAATAAAACTTTTGTCAGCGGTCGTCTCCAGGCTGAAGCCATGTGATTGTTGAATGTGTGTGTGTGTGTGTGCTGTCAGTGTATAAATGATGCGTGCAGCAGCAGTGAGGAAGCAGAGGGAGCTGAAGCCTGCTGACAGCAGCTGTAATTAGCCACAGCTCTTTGTGTTCTTTTGTCGCCCTCACTGTGGAGACGTTCCTTCAAATCCGCCAGCTCTGCCATCTTTCATCACCTACGCTCCGTGTCATTACACCTGGCAGCCGGCACTGTGCTAAATCTGTTGTGTTCAAACGTGTAAGGGTTATTGTGAAGGTGAATGCAGCTGAAAGCTTTGTGTGGCTCTCAAAGACAGTGTCTAATGTGGAGGCCAAAACACGAAGCTACACTCAGAAAGGTTGTGAAAGTGTTTCAAGTGAGGCCTGCTTTGTAAAAGATGCTGCAAGAAATATGTACCACCCCCACACACATGTCAGACTGTCATGTAACTCAATCAATCAATTAATTTATTCACTCGATTAAAAAAAAAGATCATTAGTTTACAAACACATTCTCTGACAACAACGTCCATGCTCAATAATCCAGGTATATAATCCAACAATTTTCAGTCAGGTCATCTGGACAGTTTCTTTTTTTTTTAGATTTGACATTTTCTGACAACATTTATTTACACGAGTGAAGGGGGAGCAGGAAGAAGGAAATCTTGTCCAGACCTGCCCCTTTTCTCAATAATTACAAAAATTCATGGCCGTGTACATTAAATTAACAAAACAAGTTGCAAACAATACAACAATAATAACATGCATAACAATACATCACTCTTCTCATTAACAACTCAAAAGTGTATAAGAGTTAATCATTCTTTTTTATAAAGTGTTTTGAATTGTTTTATTGTAGAGCATTTTTTTAACTCCTCATCCAAATTGTTCCATATTTTTACTCCGTGCACCAAAATGTACATTTGTTTTAAAGTAGTACGCACAGTTTTACTTTTGAAATCATACTTCCTTCTGTTATTTCTATCACATGAACTTAAGAAAAATAACTTTTGTAAATTAAATGGCTGTAATTTATTTCTAGCTTTAAACATAAATAGCATTTTTAAATTAACCAGATCCCTGAGTTTCAAGGTATTTGACTGAATAAACAATTTATTTGTGTGTTCTCTGATGTTCACTTTATATAAATAACTCATAACTTTATCTTGAATGACAGACAACAGTTTAGTGTTGGTTTATATGTGTTGCCCCGTACCTCTATACAATAAGTCAGATATGGAACAACAAATGAATAATATAATGTCTGGAGTGTTGCTAGTTCTAAAACATGTTTTACTTTATTTAGAACTCCAATACGTTTGCATAGTTTTAGTTTTATATATTTTATATGAGATTTCCAGTTAAGTTTATGATCTAAAACAACCCCTAAAAATTTAACTTCATGTACTCGTTCAACTTGATTATCATCTATAGATATTATAATAGAATCATCTATTTTTCTATTACCAAAAATCATGAATTTTGTATTATTCCAGTTTATTGATGATTTGTTGTATTTAAACCACTCGTTAAGTTTAGACATTTCACAAGCCAAACATTCTATAACGTTTTTTAAGTCATTCCCAGAACAAAATAAATTTGTATCATCTGAAAACAGGATGATTTGTAACTTTTTAGACACGTCACAAAAGTCATTGATATACAAAAGAAAAAGCTTTGGTCCTAGCACTGAACCTTGGGGGACTCCACATTTAATATTTTGAAGATCTGATTTTTCATTTCCTAGCTGTACAAAATGTTTCCGGTTAGTCAAATAACTGTTTGACCAGTTATGAACCATCCCTCTTATCCCATAATCTTGTAATTTGGAAAGCAATAACGTGTGATCGATTGTATCAAAGGCTTCTGTTAAATCAATAAACACCCCCATGCTTCCTTTCTATTGCTGCTGTAATTTCTTCATTTAGTTCTAATAATGCAAGGGATGATGATTTATTTGATCTAAAGCCATACTGACTCTCACTCAAGTTATTATTTTCAATATAACCATCCAATTTCTGGACAAACCATTTTTCAAGCACTTTAGAAAACGGGGGGAGCACCGAGATCAGTCTATAATTATCAAAACCATGTCTATCACCATTTTTAAATATTGGAATTACTTTTGCTAATTTCATTTTTTCTGGAAATATGCCACTCTGGACTAACAAATTACAAATATAAGTCAATGGTTTAATAATAAAGTCAATAGTTATACAAAGTATATATATATATATATATATATATATATATACATATATATATATATATATGATCATCATGTCAATTCCATCACTATCAACAGATGTGTTAGTTTAGCTTTTCCTTACTATAGTTATAATTTCATGTTCATTTGTATCTCCAGGAAACACTGACTGTGACATTCTACCACCTCCCTGCACACCCTGAATATCATTTGTCTTAATGGAAGAAGCCAAACCTGGTCCTATATTTACAAAAAATTAATTAAATTCATTCACCACTTTATTTTTTCAGTCGATGTTGTTTCTCCCTTAAAAAACTGTTTTTCAAGACAATGAGTATAATTAGGTCTTACAATACTATTCAAAATTGTCCACGTTCTTTTCATATCACCACTGCTCTCTCCACTTTAAATTATAGTAATCTTTCTTAGCTTGTCTTATTAATGTTAGTTTGTATTTATATGTCTTGTATTTCAACTCTTTAGGTTTAGTTGGAAATCTAAAAAAATCTCTATATAACTTATTCTTCTTCTTACAAGATTTGAACAGTCCCTTGGTCATCCAGGGTTTTGCACTGACATTTTTATTTTTGTGACTCACTAATATCGGGCAATTTTTGTCATATAATGATTTATAGACTTGCAGAAATGTTTCATATGCCACATTCACATCCTTCACATATACCCCAAGTTTCCTTTAACAGGTCATTACAGAATTTCTTTATCGTTTCGTCAGATCTGACTCTAACCTGCAGATATGTGGCTGCCTGCAGCCTGGATGCTTTACAGTCAGAGGGGTTTGTGAAAAATTACCAGAACAAAATGGTTAAACAGTGTCGGAGGAGAACAGGCAATCCAGACACGTGTTACCCTTAACGTTTGGAGGGCGGGATACAGTTGATTCTTTTTCAAAAATTAAACAGAGTTTGTAAAACATATAAAAAGCCGGAGGACCGACCCCATCAGCTGATCACAAGTTATAAACAGGAAGTAGTTACCACATGTTCAACTCTACGAAAGTAACTGCAGGTAAATCCTCCATTTTCTACCATAATTACATTGTATGCTTAATGGTTAAATTAGTTAATGCTTGATTCAGGTTATGTTTATTTGTCATATGCAGGTTAACACAAGGTTAACAGTACAATAAAATATTCAGGATGAGAAGAACTGATTTGACTCACTAAAACAATGAACAAACAAACAAGAAATACTAAAGCGTTCAATAAGGGTATAACATAAAGTACCAAAAAGTGAAAAAGTAAATACAATATTTACAAGGTCCTAAAGAAAAAATAGTAAACAACAACGACGACAAAGTTCATGCTCAATAAACAACAACATGGTAGATCATGGTGCAAGTAGGATGAATTTGTATGAATAAGTATTTCAAGGTAGTAATATAAGCTGAAATTCACATGATGTGTACTGCACATAACTAACATAAACTACACAGTATCCTGATGCATGCTCAATAATCCAGGTAGAAAAATCTAAAAAAGTTAAATCTGGTCCTCTGGACATTCAAAAAAAACAAAACAAAGCAAAACAACAAAAATAAGTAGAAACGTTTCATCTTTCATCCAAGAGACTTCCTCAGTCTGAGGTGCTGTATTCAGCTCAGTCCCTTAAATAGCACCTTCTCAGAGTGGATCAACCAGTTTGCTGCTGACAACCAAAACCAGCTGATCACATGCTTGGTGCTTGGCACATGCTTGGCACATGGTTTGAGAGAGGAGTAAAGGAGGCCATCTTTGTGAAAAGAAACCGTCCATCATTAAACAGGGGTGGAGACCTCCAGGTTCAACTGTCCCCCTCTTACAATGCTGTGATTGCTAGTATCACTCAGCCCTCTGTGAACAGTAAACAGCCATCAGGTGCTAATGATCCATTGTTAGGCTGATGGTCCTTCTTGAGCATGTGATCAGCTGGTTTTGGTTGTCAGCAGCAAACTGGTTGATCCACTCTGAGAAGGTGCTATTTAAGAGACTGAGCTGAATACAGCACCTCAGACTGAGGAAGTCTTTCAGATGA